TTCTTATACATCTCTTTTAGAGATAATAATACAGTTTAATTATATTTAGATTGATCAATACCAATTCTACAAATAACATTCGTTATACTACTAGCAAATAAGATCACATTCGCACGATCATTCATCTTTAAGATTTAGTACCCTTTTTCTTGGATACTCTGAAATCTCCTCCATTTGGATCCTCTTCGGACTCCTCCTCTTCGCTTTTCTCCATTTTGAAAATAATTAAAGTCGTGTTGGTCCTGATATGCGGTGACCTAAAACACACCCTTAAATCATTCCTTGGCTTATATCTTAAAGTAGCGGCAACTAAAACTAAACCTTCGATCTCTAATTCTGCCTTCTAGGAAAGAATCGATAACGTACTCCTTTAATCATTTGGGTCTTTATCGCTTTTTCTTTGGACCCCATCATCTTCCTAGTGTCAACCATTTCGTAACTACGGAATATAATTGACAGTAGCTCCTCCTAATGAACCGTAAATAAAGTACAACGAATCCTAATATAGGCTCTAAGTTTTAAGAGACGCAACGCGGAAGTCATAAAACGAAAGACACTCCTAAGGACACTTGAACCTGGAGTGCTCTGATACCAACTGTGATACCCCTGGATTTCCGGATGCGGGTTGGCCAGGCCCACGCCCGAATACCCGAGGATATCAAAAACAAATTGGCAATATTCGAACAGAGAGTACAAAATAGATAAATAAATAAATATCTGAAAGAAAACTAAAATGATAATCCATTAATCCTCAGAATAAATTTTCATTAATAAATTCTTCTGATACAAGTAATCCTCCAAATATACAACTCGGGAATTCATACTAAGTGGACCCCTGAAAAACCAAAACTGAAATAATCAACGGTTTATAGCAAAATACTAAATCATAAAGGAAACACATATGAAGACAATCCGGAAGAATGAAGTAGATGATCCCTGCTCAGCATGAAAAATCCTTACTCTTGACGAACACTTGAAAAATAATGGTGGGTCAGGCCCACAAACAAGTTCTACTCTATTATAATCTAAGCAGAGACCCAATACAACGTATGCATCCTAGTCAATCCAACAATAACTAATAGTCTAAATATATATATATAGATACACACTATAGGACGCTCACTAGTCCATAGGTCTGTCTCAACCTGAATAGAAAGTAACATGCAAATCGCACATAAAGTGGGCATGTATACCTAGACCTACCAAGGTACATAATGTTTACTTTGTCCAATTATCCATCCTAGGCGATATACGCACCCTAACCATGATCCTGAGACTCAAGCTCATATCATGGCACCATAATCATATATATATAATCCATCCTATCCATCTATAAGTAATCCGAATAGTCATTCAACTTGTTCAGTTGATCTGACTTAAATATAAGTAGGACTTAATATTTTTAGTTAATCCATTTCCTTGTACAAAATAGGTAAGACTTAACTTCTTTGGTTAATCCGTCCCTAAAATGCCACCGTCCTATACCGGTGTATTAAACCACACAATCCAATACATGATGCAACAGATAAAGCAGTACATCAAATAAATATTTAGAGTATGCTTTTGTTAATTAGGATGATGGAAGATAAAAAGTAGATGTGCACGTGGCAAATAACTTGATTTTTTTTTTCTTCTTGAATGTGGAAATTTTTATAAATATAAACAATATGGTACAATAGAGTCATTTGCTTTAGAGATCACTTGAAAACAGTAAATAAATCATTTTGCCGCATACCCCAAAACCTCAACGTGAAAGAGATAGAACAAAATAACTGATAGTGCCAAAGCATAAATGCTAAGGCAGCTTTACAGAAAGTCAGAAAGCCTAAAAACTCGGAACAAAGCTCCAATTTCAGAGATTGTCATACTAACAGCATTCAATCCTTCAAAGCCTGCCTCCATTGCCAATTGGTGTGGACTCAATGCACTACCACCATGACTTCTTCTGTTCCTCTCAGCCCAAATACACCACAAAATGGCAGTAAACCAGCACCTTACCAACTTACTCTTAAGAACTTGATTGTTGTTTCTAGGCTTATGATATTTGATGAAGTTCTTTAACTTCGTGCAGTTGGTGATTTCATCCATGCAAGATATATGGTCAATAATGACGGTTTGTTAAAGAACTTCTTAAATGCTGAAATTGTCCTCCTTTTAACCAAAATGACATAATTATCCCTACTCGACGTTTTAGACCGGACTGCAAATTAACTGAGTTGTATGTCCTCCTTTTAACCAAAATGACATAGTTATCCCTACTCGCTCTTTTAGATAGGGCTACAAATAAATCGAGTTGTTCATGAACAGCTCTGACTCGGGTTGTGTTTGTTCGTCAAGTAAATGGACCCAGTTCAAGTTTGTTTTATAAATCAGCTGAGGTCAAACTATGCCAAGATCGGCTCATTAAGCTTGTGAACAATCTTGTTGAAGGCATATATAGATTTAGTCCATATTTAAAGCCCATTATGTTCTAGACCTGTATGATCAAATTTAATGTAAGCTCAGCCCATGGACGTATACCGTATATGTTTGGTTTGAGGGCCCATTAAGTACTCCATCTTTGTTCACAAGAGGACCCATATCGTTGTCCAGAAAAAATTAGTAAAAACCAAGTCCACAAATCTAGCTAGTTTGTTTCTTAAAAGGAAAGCCATAGATTTACAATTCTAACCTAAGAAGCATAGACTCTTCCAGAAAGGTGTCATGACTCATCATGGACACTCTGGACATATGTCTGCCACTTCTAGGGTGAGTTTTTTAAAAGATTGTTTCAGTTGGTTGAACTTATGAAAAGACAGAGAGATCGTGTGTTCTAGTCTCTAGAGAGAGGGAGCACCTTTAAGTTGTTCTAGACTTTAAAGGGAGCACCTTTAAATTGCCGATGTTTTCGAAAACCTTCAGGGTACATTTGGTCAGATAGAAAATTTAGGATGAAAAGTGAAAGAAAGGAAGTAAAGAAAAAAAATCAAGTTTTCCATATACATTTGTTTAGGTAGAAATTTTTTCAAGTTATGTTAAAATATTATTTTGTTAGTTTGGATATGATGAAAATGAAAAGAAAATGATTCTACTACCAAAATTACCCTTAAAAATTTAATGTTTTTAAAAATAAATAAAATTGTGTTTGCCGAATCACCCTTATACCTAATCTTATTTATATCTATTTTTAACAAAAAACTAAAAAAATAAAAAACGGAAAGTAAAATAATATATTATTAAAAATACTAATATAATTATTTCTATTAATATCTAAATTGTATCTTTAAGGACACACTACTAACAATTTAAAAATAGTCATAAGTTTCCAATCAAACTAAGAATCCCAATGGCCTACAACACCAACACTAATCCTAAATTTCCAATCAAATTGAAAACCTGTGTGTATATCACTGGATCTCAATCATTATTAATTATGGAACCCAAAATAATTATAATAAAAAATTAATTTTATATGCATATATAGAAATATCAATAATTAAATTAGGATTACACCAATTTACAAAAGGAAATCTACCTCTGCATGACGTTTGTGGTGAAATTGAAGAGTGGAGAGAAACAAGGAGAAAGTGAAAAAGAGTGGGGGGATAAACCACCGACAGGGTACAAGAGGAAACTAAAATACAAAGTGGCTAAGTTTTGCGAAAAAGTAAATTTTCGCATGTTTTGTACGGGAAAATTTTTAGGAAAAATTCACAATATGCGAAAATCCTACTTTCCCGAAAGTTTACACTTTCCATCTAACCAAACGTATAAAATTTTTAAAAATTTTCCTTTTCTTTTCCTTTCTAGCTAGTTCTTGCTAACCAAACGGACCCTTAAAGAAAACTTAGCAATAAAACTAGAAATGTGGAGAAATGCTCTAGAATAAAAAGGATTGAAAATTTGAAGATTTAAAACTGAGTATATGGAATGTAAATTAATTAAAAAAACAGTATCTAAGTTTCTTAATTTTTACACTGCAAAATTAGTTAGTGCATGATGATGAAACATGAAACATGATTCGCATAATATACTTATATACCTGAAATAATTTGAAATAAGGCCTAGTCGAATTAAGTTGTCTTTTATAGCATGAGTTCTTTGTCAATCCAGCCTGGTTGATAGCCCTTAACGAATGTCATTACGTGATTCTTACTATATTTTGTGATCTATAGATTGTCCAAGTGTATTTCATCTTTGTTTAGGAGTAATATGTATGTTTCTTAATGAAGAAAGGTCACCGAGGAGATTGGATTGGATGGAGGGTTGGTATGTAGGTTCCAGGCTTCTAGCTTCTCAAGGCATGATAATGATCGACTTAGAACACATGGCAAGTTATAGCACAATTCCGAAGTTTTTAGCTTTTTAGTAGTAGTAGTAGTTGTTGTTGTTGTTATGATCTTCAAATCTTTGTGGATGTAACATATTCTAAAATTAAGAATTTGCCTTTGCCGGGTTTGGGTTAATATTCCAGCAGGAAGGGATGTAGTTGACTCAGTACATTGTGATGTAATACAAGTATGAAGCATCAATCTGCGATAGGTGACCCCATTTTGCTGGATAATTGGTCCATACAGAATCAAATATAAGAATGCTTCTGAAATGGACTTCCACCCCACTTCCCGCACTCTGAATGAAGTATCCATATGATTGATTGATAGACATGAACAATTTCTCTGAGAGTAGCTTTGCCAGAAAGTCTGGGAAAATATTTTGTAACAGTGTTGTCTAAGGCACTCTGGAACTGGTTATACACTAGGTCTTAACCGTTTGGAAAACTAGAGCTAGTTCTGCTGAGTTTTGGTTAATTTTGTCATTCTCTGTGCTAATTTAGACATTGTTATCACCAGGATACTGAATGCAACTTCTTTGAGGCATTTATATCACTTGAGTTATTGATGCTGTAAGCAACTTTCGTGTGTTGCATTTTATTTTATTTTTTGTTTGAAGAGATTCTGATTGCAGCAGTAATAGTATCTCAGCGGGAAATGGGTTGAAATGTTCTTTCCTGGATTTCGTAGAGAACTACTTTATACAGAAGCTGGGTTGTTGAAGTATCTTTGCTGAGAGATGGTTGCAGAGCCCATTTGGGGCAGTCAGGTAATTTCCCGAGTCAGTTTTCTCTCTTCTCGAATTGTTTACAGATGTGTCTTATTTGAATGGTGTACACTACTGGCTTCTGAGACCACCAGCTTTAGGGTCTAATTGACCGACATTTGAATGTAGTTTTGTTTCTGTTTTTCAGATTATAATTTGAGTTTTTGAGTGATTTTAAATTGTTTGTCGATTTTCAGAAATTTTGATGTTTATGATACTGGAAAATACACGTGTGGGATTAGAGCGCCTTATATGTTCGTCGAGGCTGCAAAAGTTGAGTCACAAAGTCAAAAACGTGAAGCAAATTTCTTGGTTATCAACATCTTCAGTTTCCATCTGCTTGACATCAAAAGTATTGAATCCAAAAGAATTGGCTTCCTTTTCAGCATTTGAGCATTAAGATTGTTTTTATGTTGTGTTGGGAAATGCAGTAATCATCAGAAACATGTGTTTCAATCGGTTTAGTGATTTGATCATTCTACAATGGTCTTTTATTATCTCCGAGACAGTTCTATCTTTGAGATTCAACCAAATCTCGACTTAATTCAATCACAATGCATTTGCACGACACACTATTAGATCCTATACTTTTTAGAATGCCTAACTATAGAAATAGAAGAGAAAATTTCTAAACTTAGGCCCCGTTTGTTTCAATATAAAATATTCTTTTTGAAAAAAAAAAAAAAATTTCAGGTAAAATATTCTTTTATTTTTACTTTATTGGTGTTTGGCAAAGGTCTACGACGATATTGAGTTCGAGTTGATCGGGCAGGACATGTAGAATAACTTGTCGAAAATTGATGGATAAATTATTTTTGTTAAACTTCAATATTTTTTTCTTCGTAAATATTTTACAACCAAATACCAAAAAATAAAAAAAATATTTTACGTTCAAATAAATTTAACCTAAAAATATAATAATGTAAAAACATCTTCTTTGTTGATACATGAACGATCCAAATACATGCATAAAGATGTGAAAGCATTTAAAACTTTGTTACTCAATGTGATCTAAATCAAAAATATTTATACTTTAATTAGTATATATAAATATATTTTTAAATTTATTTTAAAACATTTCCAACAACAGAGGATTACATTTATAGAAAATTACATGTTGGATATATATACAAATCAAATTTTATTGGTCCGATACAATATCTAAAAAAAACCTATCGAATAGCTTAGTGGCATCTCTTTCCGTCCTACTCCTCCTATTCATGATTTTTTTTCTTGTCTATTTGGTGAAACTCAATATCAACTAATGGCAAGGTGCAGATTTTTATTTTATTTTTAATAGTTCACGAAATTATTTATCAAAAATATAATTTAAGAAGGTTATGTGACAAGATTGTACAATTATTTTTATAAGCCTAAAAAAATAATCAATTGATTTGAAATGTTTTAAACCATTCGAGAGAGTAAGAATTGGGGAATAGTGTGTGGGTTAGCCGCAGCCACATGTACGGCAAATCGGCAATAACAAGGGCCGGTTCTGAGATTTTAAAAATTTTAAGAGGTTTACGCGAAATTTTAAATGCGAGGACTTTATACATAAGACTTCATGTCAGCAATAAGTTTATATGAGTGCAAAATTTACATTAAATTCAGACTATAAGCACATAAAATATATTAAGGTTGAAAACACAAAAGACAAAATGCTTTATAAAGAGCACAATTCAATTTACATTAAAAAAATTTAAAAATATTAACACAACTTAGTCAAAAAAATCAAAATTTAACTTCATATCAAAGTAAATGTGACCGTCTTAGATTTTGAGATGCAAAATTATAAATTAAAGTACTCCAATCACTGTCATAATTTTGTTGTTTTAACTGAGCTGAGTTAAAATTTTGACAGTTAATTTCATCCATGAGTTAAAATTTTGGTTAATTGAACTGGACTTAACTATTATGCATGTGAGCTCAAAACTAATATAATAATAAAATAAATCAATTTCTTATTTAAATATATAAAAATAATAATAATATTCTTTTGAAGGAAAGGGATAGAAACAAATTATTTTTACCATACAAATTATTGTATTATATATATAAAATGATATTATAAATACGTATTTATTGTTACAATTTTTTTTGAAAGTTATTTATTATCATAAATTTACATTATATACGATTGTGTATTATTTTTTAATTTTAAAAATTATGGCATGAAATTATGCTTTTTAATTGATTGGGCTTAAGATTGTTGTTTACCTTATAGATATCAGCTTTGTGGGTTCATTCCTTCCAGAATTAATTGTTACCAATCCAATCATTTTATCTAGAAGCTTGACTGGTCACATAAAACCCACCCACAATTGATTTTCTCAAGACATACCTTGAGACTGATGACAAAGTTGTAGCCGCTCTTAGGTGCTCATCCTGGCTCCTCACCTCCGATTTCAAGGGAACTATGACAAATATTGAGTTCTTGTTAAGTGAAGGGGTTCCTGCTGTAGTATATCCAAATTGATCTTGTCGCAGCCGAGAGTTATACAGCAAAAGTTAGATAGGATGGTCTATGCAGTTAACACCGTCAAAATTTTGGGTTATGAACCAAGTGCTCCCATGTTCCTACATGTTGTTCGAGTAATGGTCTCAATGAGTGATTCAACTTGGAAAAGGAAAGTTGCCACTATCTTCAAAGCAAAGTACGATAGATTCTGACTCAGGCTCACACCTACGTCACTCTACCAAGAACTAGTTGCTGAACATCTCAGCCTTACTCTTCTGACTCCCCGTCTGTGACATTCTGGGTTTTTCGGTATTTTTTGGTAATTTTAATTTTACCTTAATTGTACGCGAGGATGTGTCCCATAATATTCCGGGAGTTGGTTGTGACATTTCTTCGGGTTTAGAACCCTTAGAAACTCACTTGAGTTTATTGTGGTCAGTTTTGGATTTTTGGACCGGGAGGTCCCGTGTGGGTCCGGGGTCACCCCGATTATGCGGAAATGGCGAGGGCTTAAATGAAAGGCCGTTGGAGGACATTATTGTTATCTTTTCGATGAGATGTTGCCTTAGTGTAATTTCCTAAAAGTTGCTTGGAGGAAGGGAGTAATTAGCTATGAGAATTTTTGTTAAATGACGTAATTAGAGGAAAGTTGTGTAGGACTATATATGTGATTTGTTTGGCCACTATTCATCATCTTCCTCTTTCATTTTCTCTCTTTATATTTATAGAATATCAACCTCCATGTATAAGCTTGGGAAAGCTTAGATTTGAGGCCCTTAACCCATGTTTTTTAGGGTGCTCTAGAAAGGAAAGTTACTCATCTCATTCTCCTCTACACACCCATAGAAAGAAATTAGAGATTTGAGCCACTTTGGAATTTTGGGTTTCCTAGATGTTGGATTCGGAAGAGGGGGCTAGTTAGAGATGTTGTAGAGCATCTTTTGATCTACAACATGAGGTGATTTTGGAGGCTATTAAAGCACTTTGAGATTTCGGCCAAGACAAGGGTGGAGGTTTTTGGGATTGCTTCAAGAGGAAAGGTTGATCTCCTTCGCCTCTTTTTTCATCCTACGAAGCCGGTTTCGCGGGGGAGGCATTTTGATTTTAATGGGATTAGGGTTTTCACCCTAATTTGAGGTAGGGGTGTCTAATTCATGGAGTCTTAAGTTCAATTTTTTTTTTTTTTTGAGTATTTTTGTGTTAATTTAATAATATAAAATGCTATGTATCCTTATTGTAGAAATTTGATTGACTATATGAAAATTCATGCCTTATGTGGTGTTTAATGATGTGATTACATTCCATCTATGTGTAGAGATTTGTTAGTATGCTTAGCATGATGAAGTTGTACAAACTTGTATGCTAAAGTGATTATTTAAGTAATTTGCTAGCATGCTTACTTATGATAGTTGAGTTAAATGTCAATCCATATTAAAATTGTAGGAAATTGGTAAATGTTGAATTTTATGTTGTAAAGGCATGTTTGTTTATGTGGTTTTGATGTTGTTGGATGGTACATGCATTTCATGATGCTCATTAGGAGCTAGTCATTTTAGGTTGGAAGACGAGCAATTATTGAAATATTTTTAGATTATGCATTAGGTAGGCAATATGTGGGTGAAAGGGATAATGTGAGAAGGATGAGATTCAAGTTGAGGAAGGTTTGTGATGGATGGAAAACAATCAATAGTCTTGTTTCCGAGATTTTGGTAGTTAGGCCCTAAATGGTTGGATGAGCGGTGGTCTCATGCCAGGGATAGCTAGCCAATGTTCCAAATGGTGGACAAGCGGTAGACTTATGCCATTTGGAGTTAAAGGCCTCTAGTGTGGATTTGTGTAGTAAGATGAATTGGTTGGGAAAGTGTTACTGTGTGTAGGATGAGATCATAAGATTGGTTCGGGGTGAATTCATGGTATAAGCATTGATTGCATTGTTAATGTTGTAGTGGACTTATATATGTGAATGTGGTTAAGTTGATATATATATATATATATATATATATATATATATATATATATATATATATATATATATATATATATTGTTGTTAATGCCATGTATTGTTGATTCCATTATTTCCACATAATAACATGATCCTCCTACCTTGTTCTCCCTTTTCTATATGTGTTTACGCACAGGACTTTAAGAGCCATGCCTTAGGCATACTCTAATGAGCAGTGGTGCTCACCCCTTTACTTTAAACATTTTTCAGGGAAAAAGTAGCTTGGGAAGACCTTTTGAGTTAAAGACTCATTTTAACTTATTGTGGACTTGGATATACTTTTGATGTTTATAGAATTTAATGTATGTTTTAGGGATTTCAATTCCTATGTTGCACTTCATTTCCTTAGTAGTTGCAATCAATCGAGTTCTTTATATATCATGTATGTATAAGTGACTTCAAGGCAATGTAATATAATGTATTGAGGCTATAAGGCCACACTATTTAAATGGGTGTGTTGCTTCCATCTTGTTTTCATGCTTTATAACATGTTTATAGGGTGTTTGTGATGAGTTTTAAACTTACTTTGTGGCCATGGTTCTTGCCAAGAAGGTTTCTAAGGTTTTAGGCACCTTAAACAAACGTTTTGGGGCATTCTGGTGCCCTTCGAGTGCTCCAAGGATAGGGGACGAGCGCTCCATAATTCCAGCAATGCACTGGGGGCTAACCTCAAGTGCTCGCAGCTCAATTCACAAGTGCTCGTAGCCCCTGACTCAGCCTCAGCACCGTCGCTCCGATTTCAAACAGTGATAAATCATTCGTTTTAACTCCGAATTGGGTCGTTATTGTGTCTAAACTGACTGAGTCGAACGATATTTCCAATAGTGTAAGTATTACCCTAAGATTCAAAACTTAAAAAGAGTTATGTCCATTTTAGTGAAGACTAGTCATATTTTCTATATGTCAGGAAATGCCGGTT